GCTGAAGGTGACATGGATCACATGGAAAGCAACCAAGAGGAGGAGGAGGAGAAGGTAATACTTTTACTTTAATTTGGTTGTGTGGCCAAAATTTTGCTCCATGTCCTCTCTCCCAGCCTTTGGACCTGTACTTTGTGCATCTTTGCCATAACCTGAAGACTTTATTTTCGCTTAAGTGATTTTTTTTTTAGACATGGTAGGAGAATAGAAGAAAGGCTAAAATTGATGAAAGAACTGGCATAGAGAGATAGATCAGTACTTATCTTTTGAACAGAGGGCAAGGGTGAGATTCTACCGGTTTGCACCTATTCTCTAGAACCGGTTGTTAACATTCTAAACAGTTCGGAGAACCAGTTGTTAGAAGAAATTACTGGCCTAATCCTGTAAGGAAGGCAGGAAGGAAACATTCTGGTGTTGCTTACAGAAACTGCCTCTCCATAAACCTTTATTGCATTCTTGGCAGGACTGGACTTCTTGTCTCAGGAACGTCTCTGGAATTCCCCCCCCCCTCCTTTGCTGGTACTTTGCTTGTGTGGAGTGACCATTCAAAGTTACAATGGCACTGAAAAAAGTGACTTATGACCATGTTTCACACTTACGACTGTTGCAGCATCCCCACAGTCATGAAAGGCCAGGCAAGGAGATGCATGCCTCGATGTGAGTGATATTGAGTTGGCCACACCCAGCCAATAACATGACCACCAAGCCATGCCCACCACATAAGCCATGTCCACAGAACCAGTTGTTAAAAATTTGAATCCCACCCCTGACAGAGGGGTGCAGGCATCAAAGACTATGAAAGCTACAATTATGTCAAAATGAAAACATCTCTGTTACGGAATTGCATAAAAAGAAACGACTTAATATTTGTGTCCCAAGATTTGGATTTAAGACTGCAGTGATACAGGTAGTCCTCGAGTTACGACCACAATTGAGCCCAAAATTTATATTTCTAAGTGAAACGTGTTAAGTGAGTTTGCCCCCATTTCACGGATTTTCTCGTTGTTGAGAGAGAATTGTTGCATTTGTTAAGTTAGTAACATGGTTGTTAAGGGAATCTGGCTTCTCCATTGACGTTGCTTGTCAGGAGGTCACAAAAGACGATCCCAGGACACTGTAACCATCATCAATATGCCCGGCAACTGAATGTTGATCATGTGACCATGGGAATGCTGCAATGGTCGTAAGGGTGAAAAACGGTTATAAGTCACTTTTTTCAGTGCTGTTGCAACTTTGAATGGTTACTAAATGAATTGTTGTAAGTCGAGGGCTACCTACACTCATATCATTTGCATCCCAACATTATTGATATTTAAAGGCTACCTTCTGATTGGAATGATTCGTTCATCAGTGTCTCTATTTGCTGTCTGTTTCCCCCTCTGCCTCTCATTTTTCTTTCATTTCCTTTCTTTGGATTTTGGGAAAAGCTCCAGGGGGAGGGGGTTGGGCTTAGTTGAGAGTGCCTGGCTAGTCCTCACTGCCACCCCAATTCTTTTCCCTCTTGCCCCTAGTTTGACTTTGGTGACGTGTTCATGCATCAAGCAATCCACACGATTGAGTTTTGCCTGGGCTGCATCTCGAACACGGCCTCTTACCTGCGTCTCTGGGCTCTCAGCTTGGCCCACGCACGTAAGTTCCTGGGGAGATGGGAAATAGAGAAGGCTTTCTGTGGCTGCAAACCTCTGTGCTAGGCTGATTTATTTCTTTGGTGAGCATTTTTCCTGAAACTCCTGGGAAAGGTGATGGTGGCTGGGTTTGGGTATTGCAGCAAAAAAATAATAAATCATGTGGTTTGTCTGGTTTTGGTTTCGTATAGTATGGCTTCAGGTGTAGCTTGTTATGTGAACCCAGGCAAACATGACTTATTCAACCAAAACAAAGTTAAACAAACTTTTAAGCCTAGGCATTATGTATAATCATTGCGTGTGGGTTTTCATATTACACTAAGCAATTATTTGGTCAACAAAGTAATCAACAAGGTTGACTATTTACACACCGTATGCTATAAATGATGTCAGAATGTATATAAAGCCAATTGATTTGGCATCCGAATTAAGTCTGATTAAGATAGTGCATGTCCTATTGGCAGAGATTTCTAGTATGTAATAGGAAGAGAATTTGCCCCTTTGTAAACTTTGCTAATTCTTGCACTTATTCCACAGAGCTCTCAGAGGTCCTGTGGACCATGGTGATGAGGAATGGCTTTTCGATGATGGGCTACCAAGGCGGGGTTGTCCTTGTTCCCGTCTTTGCTTTCTTTGCAGTATTGACTGTGGCAATTTTGCTGGTGATGGAGGGACTCTCAGCTTTCCTGCACGCCCTTCGTCTTCATTGGTGAGACATTTAGCAATAGACCTATATACCACTTCGCAGTATCTTACAGTCCTCTCTAAGCAGTTTACAGAGTCAGCCTGTTGCCACCAAACAATCTGGGTCCTCATTTTACCCACCTTGGAAGGATTGGAAAGATGAGTCAACCTTGAGCCAGTGAAAATCGAATTCCAAACTGCAGGCAACCGGCAGTCAGCAGAATTAGCCTGCAGTACTGCACTCTAACCACCGCACCACCATGGCTCACACATGCATGGGAAAGGGAATTCTCCTGGCAAACACAAGAACATTTTGTGTAAATGTTACTGCCTTACTGGACTTGGATTGCTAAGTTCCTCTATGTCCATGATGGCGAACCTATGGCATGTATGCCACAGGTGGCACGCAGAGTCATTTGTGTCGGTACACAAGCCCTAGCCAAACTTACCTCACTACGCATGCACACATATCCCAGCTGATTTTCGGCCCGTTTGAGGCCTTTTTTGGCCTCCCAGAGGCTCGAGGGAAGCCTCTGCAGCCTTTGGAGGCCGAAAAACAGGCCCGTTTCATCACTTCCTGTATTTCTGGAAATACCGGAAGTAACGAAACGGGCCCATTTTTTGGCCTCCAAAGGCTGTAGAGGCTTCCCTCAAGCCTCTGGGAAGCCGAAAAAGGTCTCAAACATGCCAAAAATCAGCTGGGAAGCGTATGCATGTGCAGTGCAGGTAAGGGGGCGGGGGAGCTGTGCGCATTGCCTTCTGGGTGCTTGCACATGAGTGCGCCCATGCAAGCACTCACACAATTTTTGGCACAGGAGCCCAAAAAGATTAGCCACTACTGCTCTATGCTATCATTTAGGAGTCATAGAGACGATAAGTGATTCTTGGGATTAAGTCTATGATCCTAGATGGGTTGTTGAATCCTGGGATGACACAGTGCATCTATATTGGAACTGGATAAAATTGGGGTTATAATTGATCTTGCAAATCCTAAACTGACCTGTCCTGTATTTTTCAGGGTGGAATTCCAAAACAAATTCTATTCAGGTGCTGGGTACCAGTTCAGCCCCTTCACTTTCACCAGCGACATTTGGATCTAAGAAGAAAAGTGACTGCTTCTCTCCAGAAAGGGAATATTTACTGTGCCATCCTGAACTAATGGGCAATGCTTTTTGTTTTTAATTGATTCATGCTTTCCCGTCTACTGGTTGTGACTTCTGTCCAGATAGAACATGCACTAGCCTTTAACAACCTGTTATAATTAATCCAAGATCCTGTGCTGACTCACATATGAAATATCAGTATTTAGGCTGACATTTTGGAACTGAAGGAACAATCTTCCAGATCTATGTTTTGAATCATGCCACATTGCTTCCAAATCTTTTGATACGTTGTTCCAATAACCACCTTATCTATGCCTCTGTAATCTGAAAGCTCCGGTGGGAAAGAATGGTAAAAGACCTTAAGGAAAATCAGAATATAGAAACATCGAAATGTGGTCCAGTAAGACTTACAAGGACATTGTCATTTGTATCACTCGTCTGTGTAAAAAAAGGACCTGTTTACTTATTTAAGATTAGTTGACAAGAGACCTGGTCTAGGCACTTTTTAAATTACCTTCTGCCTTTTGCAGATCTGCACTAGAATTTTATTGGGTGCTAATGTCCAGGTCAGCCTCAGAAATTTTTTTTATGACCAAAAACTCAGGTTGATGCTGCAGCTGTCAAAATAAGGCGGTAGACTGTCAAGATCGGCTTGATGCAATTGACATGTTGGGGGTTAATACGGGGAAGTGGATTGAGATGACTGTGGCTGTTCATTCTATCTTTTGAACTCAGTTTACTGGCTGTTAGCAAAACACATCAATGAAACGTGGACCAGAAATGGAGCAAATGAAAACGGCACCTCTCCCATGTAGGCCAACTAAGTTTAATTTTGCCAAAAACAAAAAGAGGGATTCTTGGCCTAAAGTGCGCTACAGGTTTCCTTCACATTGAAGGCAGGGAGGCCTCAAAAATGCATCAAAATCTTGTCACATCCTCCCATCAAGATAAGGACAGTGCGTTCAATAGACCATGTAGAATTCTGTGCTAAAGACATTGAAATCCTTAACTCTGTGGCACTAACTCAGCAATAACAATAAAACTCGCTGCATTTTTACCTCTGCCTGGAGAGCATTTTGTAGTTGCAAGATTTACTTTGGATTTCTGCTTTGCGGGTTTTAACATGGGACGGGTGTGTTTCAGTCAGGGTTGTTGTGTTTGGAGACGGGGTTGAATTCCTTAATTATGGGCTGTTTCATAGAGGCAAGGAGCAGAATCAGTTATGAGCAGGTGGCTAAGATCTCAGTGAAATCCACTTTCTGTTCTTGTTTTGAGTTCCATTACACCTTTTAAAGGAGGTTGATTTTGTATTGGACTACATTGTATCTATATATAATATAATTGCTTAATATATAATTGAGGAAGTGGTGGGAAACTTATCTAGAGCAAGGGATAAGATATAAGTATCAGTTGGGCATAAAAAAATACCACCCCCAAAATGCCTTCAATGAAGAGGAAGCTGCATAATGGGCCAACTTCCTGGCAGGCAGTGTCATAAAAAAAACCACACCAGGAGATGAAAGGGGTTCTTTGGGAAAGTTTTATCTGAACTGGGCCAGGGGATGGGGAAACGGCTGCCCCTGCTGTCTCATTGCTCATAGCCACCAGCTGTGTAAATGTTGAGAGTATGGAAGCTGGTTGCCCGGTTGCTAGGTAGGGCATAAGGTGCTGCCCCAGATCGAGCTCCCACATAGAAGCTGTGATAAGAGAGATGCTTGTAGGGCAGGGCCCCTGAAACTTCATTCAAGGGTCGTCGTGCGATGCATACATCTGGGAGGCCAGCTGATGTCACCAGAGGTTGATGCTGGAATTGGGAGGCTTCTCTGAGGAGGGCAGGAGGGAGATGGTGGTTGCTGGAAAACCCTAGAAAGAGAGAGGTAGCTGTAGAGAATAAAAGCTATTACCAGAAGCCCTAATCCAGTGATGATCTGGAAATACACCTTCGCTGTTGTTGAAGTGGGGAAGGCAAAACCTCCACTGAGAAATCCACATGCAGGGATTACTGGTATCTCTATGATTTTACTAAGACCTAGGATCTCTAATAGTGTGATTTGCATTTTAGTATTTTCAAGTTGTTGAAACTAGCAATTTAAATATCAGTTCACCGTTTGGTCCAGTGCATTCCCTTGGTAACAGTTAAACTTATTAAACTTGGAGAACCAGTTTGGTGCAGTGATTAAAGACAGGAATACAATCAAACTGCCTCAAGGAGGAAAAAAACCCACATGTATGCAAATCTTTGTTGATATTAATTCTTCTCTTGCTTGCTAAATGAGAAGATATCAAATCAACTATTTGCAGAAGCCATAATCTTCAAATTTCGGTAATTTTCCAGATAGTGCCTAAGCATTTAAACATTTATGATACCATTATGGTGCAGATCTTTAAAGAACGCAGTTCAAGTTTTCTTCTTTCTTAATGATAATTTTGTGCTTCAGCAAAAATTTGGATTATATGCAACGTGATTATGGCCGACCTGGAGACAGGCTTAATGGAATGAACAACAATAACAAAAACCAAGCTAATTTCAGCCTTCAATGAGGCCGTATGGAAAAAGACAACACTTACTCACAAAAACTTTGTAAAACAGTTAATGTAAGAAGTTGTATAGCTTCATTACCTTAAGGCCCTAAACAGATTAATAAAGCATGAAATCTCGTAGGATTGTTGGTTTTCCTATTATGCACTTGGATTTAAGACACTGCTTTCCTGTCAATTTCTCCATTCTAAACTGATAAATTATTTTTTTCATCTTACCTTTCTCTGGAATCTCTTGAAGTTGGCCTAAGGAAGAGGTATTCCCATTCTGTGATAAACAACCCAGTAGTTGCCCTGAGGATCCTGGCCTACACATATACAACATAATCAGTGAAGGTATAAATGTGAAATTTCCCTTAAGCATTACTCTACAGTTTTTGAGAATACAACTTGATTCAGTTCTATCTGTGTCCTTAGCCACCACTGGTGTCTTAATTCCTCCCTTTTGTTGGTTTATCAGGATGATGCAGATGTAGCTGGTAACAAACAATTATCCCTAAAACATTGATGGAACAATTGTATAGCAGTTCTAGACATTATGTATGTGGGAAAAGCCTCATGAGGTAAAGTCAATTGTAACAGAACTAGCATGACTTGGATCTCGGTCCTTGCTTTTGAGAGAGCGTGTCTCGTAATTCAGCCTTTCATCCGTTTGCGACTGTGGAAGAAGGCTAAATTTGTTCTTGGTTGTTCTAGACCAGGGGTGGGCAAACTACGGCCCGCGGGCCACATCTGGCCCGTTGGTCATTTTAATACAGCCCGCCTCTGGAAAAAAAATATTCCCCTCTGAAAAAAAAATCGGGGCCGGCCAAAACAGACCTCGTGCCGTGCGCCAAAAAATCGCACACACAACACTTCTCGGCTGGTCTCCTCCTCCTCGGCCATACAGAACAAACAGGCCAAGGAGGAGGAGACCAGCCGGCTGGTTGGGGGAAGCTTTCTGCGCCGAAAGAGGCAGCTACTAATCTCCGGCTTTGCTCCGCTTCTCCAATGGTCCGGCACCACCCTGTTCTATGCGCCGGCTGCTCGGACTTGCTGGGCCTGACACATAGAACAGGGCACCGCCGGATGTTGGAGAAGCAGAGCGGAGCCGGAGATCATTAGCTGCCTCTTTCACAGCAAAAGAAGCCTCCCCCAACCGGCCAGATGCTCTCCTCCTTCTCTGCCTCCTTCTCTGCCTCTCCCCTCTTGCTCCTCACAGTTGCCCTGAGCTGGTGCGGTTCTTTACTTGGGCAGCCAGACGCCCGCAGCAGCGCCCGCAGCAGCAACAGGCAGTTCCGCCCGGGCTCCGCTCAGGTGTCCGGCTGGGGCTGTCAGGAGTTGCTACTGCCGGCGCAGCTCCGCGCGGCTCCAGTCCCGCGTTGCCTTGGGAAGGAAAAGGCAAAACCAGGAGCCGCTGAGCCTGAGCCTCCGGTGCTGCTGCTCCCGTTACAAAGCGCTGCCGCGGCTCTTCCTTTTTGCCTTTCCCTTCCCAAGGCAACGCGGGACTGGAGCCATGCGGAGCCGTGCCGGCGGTAGCAACTCCTGACTCGGGGCCTCCGAGGGGAGGGGAAGGAGGAGAAGAAGGGGGGGGAAGGGTGGGGGGGCGATTCCCAAAAAATCTTGTGCTGACCCGGCCCGTCTGTCAAATTTTAAAAGTCAATGAGGCCCCCGAGCCAAAAAGTTTGCCCACCCCTGTTCTAGACCCTGATCACATCATTACCAAGATCATGAATTAGGCATTGTAGATCTTTTTAAAGGTATTGATAAGGCATTAATATTGTCGGGCTGGCATCTGACAAGTTGCCTGGTTGAGAATACTGTGAGCATAATCCCTCCCTACACATTGTCATTTTGCTGGGATATTTAAGGGGGGGGGGCTCCAATTGATTTAAACTGCAAAATAGATGTTCCATATTAGAGCATTGAAGATTTTCTCTAGCCGAAAAAAGGTTCTGCCTGACTGTATTTTGGGGGAGTGGCAGCAATACCATTTTTAGTATTATTTGGTATATAAATACCATTTGGCATCCAAGGAATACTTCTGGGTGTTTCTGATTGCATTTACTGTCAGAACTGCTATTCCCTTGCAACGCTTCTCAGTTTGGGTTACTTTAGCTGGCGTGAAATTAGACAAAGACTTCTGCCAGCTCCCTCTTCTAGCAAAACCATAAAACTATCTTATCAACCACCAGTCTTCTGAAAGACTAGTACATCACCACCTACAAGTAGTCCAGCTTTTGAATGGAGTGGAAGTCAGGTGGACTTAATGAAAAAAGGGACTTTCTCAATGAGTTGTGCGGGGCTCCCTCCTTCATTCCACGTCTCTCTCCCACTCTGCTAACCTGGTTTACTCTTGGATTCAGGCCCATCAAAGGCCTGTGTCCAGAAAGAACCCAAATAACATCTGCAGAGCACCTCCACGCCAGGAATATGTGTATTTTAAATGCATTTATATGACTATCATTTTTTAACCTTCTATATCAACGAGTCCTACATTTCATTATTTATTTACTTGTTTGTTTATCAAACATTATGCTTGCCTAAACAAAACCTACCTCTATAGGCAACGACCTACCTCTAGTGGCAAGTGCAACAAGGTCTTCATTGAATAAATGGCTCCATGCATTCAGTTTGTCTTTCTCTGGCTTAGTAGAATAGTAATCTAGGAAGAGACTTACCAGTCATCCGGCTCACACTCCCGGAAACCTTTAGCAAAAGGGTTACTAGCAATTTTCAGCTGGGTGATCTGTCAAGGTAGGGATAGCTTTATCAGTGATTTACTGTCTTCCCTGCCAGCCTCATCTTTGTTCAGATAGCTTTCACTAGTCCCAGAGAAGGGAATTTCAGTCAAGTTCCTTCACATACCTCATGTAACTGTTTAGAAGGCCAAGGGACACAAGAAACCTTTGATTTATATCCTGCCTGCCCTTTTTCTGAGGATAGTAGGATGATGGCATTTAAAAAAGGCAAAGTCTCCTTCAAGCTCAATTTGACACCTAGTCTTGGCTTCATTGATACGCCTTTACACATAAAAGGTTTTCTATCCCATTGTTCCCTAGCAAAAAGAGGTTGAGAGAGAAAATTCATTATCCAATGAACTATGTGGTATACTGGGGCTGGGAGCTAGTCCCTTTCATCCATATTGATTGTATCCCCTCAGATGCCTTCTTAAATTGCTGGTTTAGGATTCATAATTAGGTTATCAGTTTAGGGTGATGAGCAGAGGTATTCAGCAGGTTCTGACCAGTTCTGGAGAACCAATAGCGGAAATTTTGAGTAGTTCAGAGAACCAGCAAATCCCACCTCTGACTGGCCCTGCCCACATCTATTCTCTGCCTCTTGAGTCCCAGCTGATTGGCTGGGTCTTCTTTTGTTGCCCTGGAAAGCAGGTTAGTGGGGCAGGGAAGCAGGTTAGTGGGGCAGGGAAGGAATGGGGATTTTGCAGTAACCTTCCCCCAGGAGTGGGGAGGGAATGGGGATTTTACATTATCCTTCCCTTAGAGTTGGGTGGGGATGGAGATTTTACAGTATCCTTCCCCTGCCATGCCCACAAAGCCATGCCCACAAAGCCACGCCCACAGAACCAATAGTAAACAATTTTGAATCCCACCACTGGTCATGAGCAATGTGTTATGCATACAGGTAGTCCTCGACTTAACAAGAGTACACTTGTTGACTATTCAAAGTTACAATGGCACTGAGAAAAGTGACTTGTGACTATTTTTCACATGTACGACCATTGTAGCATTCTTAGAATCAGTCACATGATTTATATGTGGATGCTTGACAACTGACTCATGTTTATGAACGTTGCAGTGCCCCGGGGTCATGTGATCACCTTTTGTGACATTCTGACAAGCAAAGTCAATGGGGAAACCAGATTCACTTCACAACCATGTGGAAAGAAAAGTCGGCAAATGGGGCAAAACTCACTTAACAAATTTTTCACTTGGCAACATAAATTTTGGGCTCCATTGTGGTCGTAAGTTGAGGACTACTTGTGCTTACCCAGCAGAGGGGGGGCCATCCTGATTTATCTGTAAGAATGTAGTGGTATTCTGTCCCTCATCAACCCTCTTCCATAAGTCAGTTCTCTTGGAGGAGAAACCATGATAGACTGTGTTCTTACCCGATGGTTCTGATAGGCGGTCACTGCCATAAATTGAGTCTCTGTAAAAATGAAAGATTTGAAATTCTCCTGGGCATAACGTTCACTGTCTGGACGTGGGTCCACCACCACCACATGGAAACGGGGCTGGTATCTGTGCATGGAGTTCAGAATGATCTGTTCGATTAAGAAAATAAAACTTTCAGGTGAGGATACAAATTTAATTTAAATTCAGGTGAGGGTGCCCATTTTAAGATCTTCCCATGATGCAAATGGCAGCATGCAACTTTCTTTCACTCTCCCAGATGTCAGTAGATCTGTTCTAATTTGAAATATAATGGGGAAAAACTCTAGCTAGAAATGTTATATGCTGTCAACCAAGAGGCTACATTTTATGAAAGGTTCATTTTATTTATTAAATACTGAAGAATTAATTCACTCAGGTTCTCTTCACTTTCATGACTAAAGTATCCAAAAAACTACATCGATTTCCCAATCTGGCAATGGCCAGATGTATTGGGTTACAAAAATCAGTATGTTGTTGTTGTTATTGTTGTTGTTTTTATTGTTATTGTTGTTTTTCTTGTTTTTCTTGTTTTCTTGTATTATTATTATTATTATTATTATTATTATTATTATTATTATTATTATTATTATTATTATTATTATTATTATTAAACATATGATGAAAATATGACAAAAGAGAAGTAATCATATACACACACAATCCACATAATTACACACAAACCCACTATGGGGAAAGGGCAGCGGTCTCATAACTGGATGTCCAAGTTCAGTTATCTAGGTGTTGCTTGGTGCAGACCTTCTAGGGCAGTGGTTGCCAACCAGTGGGCCAGGGATCACTGGTGGTCCGCAAGAAAATTTTGGTGGTCCGCAGAGAAATGTCACCCAAAATCACCCCCCAAAGCAATTAATCCAGGCTGTGTGGGAACACAAGGCTGTGTCACCCACATGGCCCGCAGGAACACAAGGCTTGCGTTGCTGGGCTACTTCTTTCCACATCTTTCTTCTTCCACTTTTGGCTGCATGCAAGGAAAGCAGCAAAAGTCTTTCTTTCTCTCCCCCAAACTCTGCCAGAAATGAGTCTTTAGGACCCTGCAAGGCCTCCTGCTCCAAGAGGCTGTGCCAGCAAAGACTCATTTCTGGCAGAGTTTGGGGGAGAGAAAGAAATACTTCTGCTGCTTTCCTTGCACGAAGCCAAAAGTCTCTCTCCCTCTCTCCCTCTCCCTCTGAGAACGGAGCTGGAGGTGGTATCCTGCGATCCCAAATAAAGAATGATCGATCGGTAGGAAAACAGGGTGGGAAATTTTCCTGCAGACTTTTTTTTTTTTGGATTTTCCCAGGGTCTCTGGTACGCGGGATTTAAAATGATGAGTTTAGTGGTCCCTGAGGTCCAAAAGTTTGGCGACCCCTGTTCTAGGGAACCAGAGAACACACATTGTGGGCAATCTTGCAAAATAGATTTCATAATTTGCATATCAGCACCACAGTCACAGCAAGGGGAATCTTTCGATCCCCACTGATATAGGGCAGAGGCACCTCTTCCAGTATTACACCCAATTCTGTTCAGGAGGAGGCGGGGGTCTGCTGGGGGTTCCCCGGGGTTCAGGAGAGCCGCTAGATAAGATTCTGTGCAGTTCGGAGAACCCCCAAATCCCACTCCTGGCTGGCCCCATCTGCCCCACCCCGCCCCTCCTAGGAGTCCCCACAGAGCCCGTTTTGGATGCAGGTAAGTGCAGGGTGCGCACGGGGGCTCAGGGAGGGTGAAGGACGAGTTATTGAACAACCGTTACTTTCTGTTTTCTCTCCATTACTACCACAGCCCCCCCTTTTTTTTTGGTAAAATCTTGTTTGAGAAGAATCTCGGAGAAGTGTATATAATTTTTGTTGTTTGCTAATGAAGCAGAATGGAAAGTTACCAGAAAAGTATTCTTATAATTAGCAGAAGTTTCTTAGCTTATATCGCAAATATTATAGAAGTTGCTTAATACGATATTGTAAAAACCACAAAATTGCTGAACCTGAGAACTGGACATGTTCCTGTAAGCAAGGGTGGGTATGGAAAATAACAGAAGAATAAGAACGAATGACTAAGTAGACTTACTTCCCCTTTTGTAGTACGCTGAGACTGGGAGCTGTATAAAAGTAACCCCCTCAGGGATAGCCGGGGGTTCAGAATTTGCCATGCTAATGCTCTGAACCTTTTGCGCAAATAAACCTGTATTCTCCTACCCTTCGTGGTCTTGTGTCCTGATTTGGAAACAGGATCTGCTGCAACACTAATAGTGTACTGCCAGCGATATATTTAGGATTTTTTTTATAAAAAAAATCTGAATATTATTATGATTGCATTTAAAGAATCAATTGCCTTTCTTAAAATAAAAACAGGAGAAAAACATGAAACAACTGCCTTAAGCAGTTGCTATTAAATCAAGTGCAATCCAGTGAGGAAGCTAAATGGTTATTTATCATGCAACAGTCCAGAGCAACTCACATGGCCGTTGTCATCCATCAAGTTGTTGGTGAGCTTGAGCTTGTCAAAAGAGACAATTTGCCTCATCCACTGGCCTCCCTTGGCAGGGGAGTCAGGATGGAAGTGAACCCGGCCGGGTGTAGCAGGATCCGCCTTGCCAGCTACCAGCCAAGCAGAACTGTGGAATGCATACCTGTAGGAAAGAGGTATCATGCTGGGCCAGGTTATTACAGTCCTGGCTTGTTCTGGATCCATCCATTATGTTTGGTTTGCTAGGAAGTCCCATCGTTGTTGTTGTTGTTGTTGTTTTTACTTATCAGCTCAAAATCTTGCCTTTGCTTTTCAGGCCAATGGAAAAAATAGGCTAGATCAGGCCAGTTCTGTCTATGGAATAGTGAAGTACTAACTATATAGGAACCTGCTTCCCTGCTGTGGAACCAGAAAAAGTTATCCATCCCAACAACTCGACATCTCAGAGATGAGAATTATGGCCCTATCCATCAGCCTGGAAGAAGGCCAAAGGATGCAACATACATTGTTTAATTCATAAGCACACATACATATGTATTGATGCTCAGACAAATTTGGCAATACCATGACTAAGATAGAGTGATTCATGCAGAGTCTAAAATCTAAATCAAGACCTTTTATAAGTGTAAATGAGATTCTGAACTGAAATATGTTTCAGCAACAAAGCTGGCAAAGGAGAGAACTGATTGTGTTGGGTGGCTTAAGTCTTATAGTTCTATGTCCCATTTTGTTTTTATTTACCCGTAAATACTTTCTAAAAATAAAGAAATGGTTACGGGAATACTACAAAGCAAAATACCAGTATCTAGCATCACTTAAAAATGCCTCTTGATGATCCCATGAAGACATCCCATGCTGTCTTATAGCATGTTGATGGTCACAAAAAACGATTTTGTTTTGAAGTATGCCATCTACTTTAGGATGACAAACAGCATCCTGAGGAACTAGAAGGGGCAACAGGGGCAGGGTTTGAGATTTTCTTTTGGGTAAACAGTTTTTCCTCACCATGGCAGCCATCTTAAAATCTGTGCATCTCTAATGAATAGCTTCATTCAAGGACCAGACATTTACTTGACTATTACTAATTCATTTCCGTTGTTGACCAAAAACCAGAATGACAAGAAAAGAAGGGGGAATCAAGGCTATGTGTTTTTCATCC